CTACATTTCTTACTCTTTACCAAGGAGGGGCTTCCGTATGACGAAGAAATGTGTTCCATGTGGTTAAGAGAAACAAAAGACTGGTGCCCAACTTCAGGCCAAAAAAGCTAAAGCTCTGGCAGAAGTAGGATAACAGAGGAGTGTTGGGAGTCTGGAGGGCGAAACGTATGTGACCAGACTTTGGTAAAGAGAGGTTTGTGAGAACCATCTGGAATCCTACTGAAGAGACCCTTCAGAAGACAAATGGGCATGTGTGCAGTGGATGGTTGAGTCCTAAGGTCGGAGCTGAGGCCTGCTTGGGGGTTGAAAGGTATTATGGGCAACAGAAGGTGGAGGGAGAGCGACCCAGCAATGGGGCCCAAAGGCGAATCCATCCACCCTGGTAAGAACTGTCCTATCCCTTTGACTTTGATCTCAGATTGTCTTCCATCCCAGTAGAGTTCAACAAAGCAGCCAGAGTGAGGAATCAGGTGAGCCTAGAATGGAGGCAGAAGTTGAGTACAGTCCTGACCCCGGTGTGGCAACAGTAAAGAATGAATTAATGGATGGCTGAACACAGACTGAAATGTTGATTGCAGTGGAATTGAGACTCCGCATTTTTGACTTAGACCCAAGAGTCTGACATCACTCAACACCTGTGAGGTTCAGGGCATCTGTCTAAGCGTCCATCCAGGACCAGGGGAAAATTGCTGTATACCTTCTTTCCTGTCCCTTACATCTTAAAGCAGGTAGTGGGATACAAAAATAAATTTGCATTTGACCACATCTTACAAGTTGTGCAGTTATACTGATATCCGGTGTATGATATAAGCAGACCTCCCAGGCCCATGTGACCGGCTGACCCTTGGGTTTCATGTGGAAAATGGGAGCTGCTCTGATTAATAAACATGGGGAGAAATGGAATACTGGAAGTGTGGGAAGAGCCAGAAGGACAAGTCTGGGGGAACAGGACAAATTGCATAATTTGAGGGAACCACTGCAACATAAAAATACTGGCCCCTTCTTCAAATTTATTATGGATTTCGGAAGGCAACAACAGAGCATTTAACCAAACAAGGGCCCTGTGTGGACTGCATGGGCTGCACATCCACGATGTTACCCTGGGGTGAAGAAGGAGGGAAACCTACTAGTTGTCCAGTTAAAGAGATACTCGGGAGAACAGGCTTGTCCTATTGGAACTTTTTCAGTGAAATGCTCTGAATGAGATCCCCTTCTGAAGATCCCACAAATGCTTAGCAAAATTGTGAACTCCCTTGTGTGAATGGTTTCTTGGGGAAGCCAGCGAACAAGCCAAGTAGGTAAGGGAACAGCTGGCAGCGGTTATTTACCTGACACTTTCCATATATTTCAAGGGTTTAGGTAAAGAACTCATGTTATATGACAAGAAATTTCCCCATGTCATATAGTATGAAGGGATCACATGGCTTTTTGTTTATTTCTTTATTAGTGTATCAGGATGTTGCGTGATACTTTCTCTGTTGCTCAGAGTTGGTGACTAGTAAAAGCTGCCAAAACACCTAGTATTATAATGAAAACTGTGGATGGTAGGGACCAGCACCCCTTCAGGGTTTACAAAGAGGTGGTAGAGCCACAGAAGCCCCTCCCAGCTGTATTTGAGAGGCAGGCCCAGAGGAGGCCCTGCTGCACGGGCTCCTCACCCTAAAGCCAAGCTAGAGAAGTTTCTAGAAAACCCCTCATTGAGAGCCAGGGCATGAAGTGGGCACTGGCACTTCACTTCTGACTGGCTGTTTGCTTAGGCAGTAGACTTACTGATCTGCCCCTGCCCCTCCTAAACAGGGAAAAGAGGGTTGGAGACAAATGTACTCAGCATGGAGCAGCCGAGGGGCAGCATGCAGTCCAGCCCTTGGCATAGAGGGGTGACTGTGTTTTCTATGGAAAACAAGTGGACGCTGAGAAAGTGGTTGGCTCTAGCCTTCCTTTCTGACAGTAAGAAGCTAGGGTACAGATGAGGTAATGGTCGTTGGAAGAGATCAAGTAGCATCCTGGTCTCTCAGGTCACTGCCCTGAATAGGGCTCCCTGAAGAACTCACTTGTAGAAGCAGTCTCCTCATTTAGAGAAGACACAAAAGCTACCCTTGACCCCCTACCCCATCTCTCCTTTGCCCATTCAGACACCCTAGAGGAAATAGGAGAGGAGATTGTTTTCCAGAGGCCTATCATTCCTCTGAGATGAGGAAGAGGGGAAGAGCAGAGAGATGCCCCTTTCACCTCTTTAGGTCCTTCCAGTCACTGGCCCAGCCAGCAATGGGAGATGGGAAGCTTTGCTTTGGATATGAAGTTGGCATCTTTAACTGGACTTGAGTTTTTTTTCTTTTTTAAAAAATTCCAGTTAGTTAACATACAGTGTAATATTAGTTTCACGTGTACAATATAGTGATTCAACACTTCCATTCAACACCGGTGCTCATCACAGCAAGTGTCCTCCTTGATCCCCACCACCTATTTCCCCCCCACCCCCCACCTCCCTTCTGGTAACCATCAGTTTGTTCTCTGTAGTTAAGAGTCTGTTTCTTGTGGATTTGACTGAGCTTTTTAATATCAGGAAGTGACCAAGGAGGTTATAGACTCTGTCCAGGGTCTCTCATTAAGGAATCACTACCCAGCAGGGAAAGGACATTCAGCACAGCACAGCTGGGGGCAGGATAGGAGGGAAAATAACACCATTTCTTATTTGTACCCTATGGACTTGAGACTGTTCAGTAAACTAGCTATTTCTGATTAGGGACCTCATGTTCTTATAACTAAAGTTGAATAACTGTGCATTTGTGTTGTAGTGTACTGTGTTTATAAATTGTTAGTTTAGGAGTGACCAGATTTTTTCTGCAAATCAAAAACTTGAACTATTAAATGAGAAAAGAGACACACCAGAAAGCAAGTTTCCAAATAGAGGAGACACTTAAAGAGGTATCTAATAACTGCCTTAAAAAAATCTCTCTTTTTAGAAAAATTTCAACCTATCATAGAATCACTAACAGTTGATGCAATGGAAAAAAAATGGGTGTATAAAAACACGTTTGTAAGTGATTTGTTATTCTTGTGCACTTGTCAACCATGTTACTCTCTTAAATTATTTAAATTTCATAAAAACATTTGTCAGGCTATTCATCTATTTAATTTTTTATTTCAGTGTGACTGTGTCTATGATTTTTACATAAGATGGTGAAATGGCTTCAGCCTTCCCCCGTGCCCCCCTCCTCCCTCTTTCCTCATTACCAGAGGCTTCTTAAGTATTTGCCATGTTCTTTTTATTTAGACAAGAATTATTTCATATTTACATTATAATATTCTTTAAATTGTTTTTAAATAACTTTCTAAGATACTAGCTCTAGCCTGAAGAAAAATTGTTGTCAGTGATAACCCATCAGAAGAATACAGTGACTCTTCATCCTTTGGTGTCCTCATTGTAGAGTTGCTTGTAGATTACAGACCACAACTTAAATCGTCTTCAGGGACAAGCTCCAGGCTTATTTTTCTTGTTTCAGTTCCGCACCATCTATTTTCTTGAATCCCAGTCTCCTAAAATGGAAGCCATACAAAATGTTCTCATCCATCATAACAATGCCATAATACATACAAAAATATAGCCATGATCCTAATTGCCTAATTATACTTGAGTTGAATTGTGTTGCACTTGAAACGAGTGAGATGTTGATGAGAACCTTAATTTGTAATGGGGGCGTACTCAGGTTTACCAGCTTACCCTTGACTCATCCCTCTTCCTCATGACTGTCCCACTGCCAACATCTGGTGAGCTGCCAAATTCTGCTTCTGTGTTACATCTCAGGACTTGAGCAGAAATGTCAGTGGTTCTCCTTTCCTTGATGAATAATGTCCTTTACTCATCCTTTACTGAGCCCCGAGTGCACTTTTCTGCTCTTACCCCAACCTCCTCGCCTTCTTACCTTCTTTCCTCTCCTCTTCGTACCCCTGCTGCTTTCACCAAACTGAACCCCAGCTGTGGTTCATACTCCTCTCTTTGCCTAAAAGTATCTTCTCTCCTCCCACCAGTCTCTGAATATTCAAAACAGAGCCATCTTTCAAAGTCTAACTCAAAAAAATTTCTCAGATTTCCACATGTAGAAATACTCTCCTTTTTTCCTCTCTCTCTCTTTTTTTCTGGGCACTGGGGATATGCAGTGGACAAAAAGCATGGGATTTATGGGCCCGAAATTCTAGTAAGGGGGAATGGACTCTGAACGTATGTCAGATAGGGATAAGAGCCATGGTAAAAAATAAAACCAGGAATGTTCTGAAAATGTCTCCCTTCTAAGGTGTCACAGCTTGCTGCCTTCCTTTCTAAAGGCCTTAATTAAAGTGTCATGTTCCACTTCATAGAAATTTGTTGGTTTTGTTGTTTTTATATATACTCTATTAGAAAATAATAGGTAAATTGCCTATTAATTTTATGGACCTCTTGCTTTCTGATTTGTACATAGTAGATAACTTAATAAATACTTACTAAAGCAAACAATGATTGAATTAGAACTCACTTATAAAATGAGGTCCAGAAAAAATAAAAAAAATTTGATTTAAGGTTGAGGAAGAAAACCTTCTGAATTTGAGACCTGGGGTATTGGGATGCCTTCCTTTGTCCTTGTACATAGCTCCCTCATGCGGGACCTTTCACATTAAAGAGGTCAAATGTTGGACTATATGTCACAGGCCTAATTCCCAATCACGTCATCAAATCTTCCTACTCAGTGTGTGGCTATAGAGTAATGAGATTGATGCCCACATGGGGCTTAGGGGAAGCCACATGATTACTTCCTACTGCTACTCACGTTTATATCTGGCCCTCTGTAGGTCTCAGTTTAGGTACTTATTTCCCTTTCTCTTTGCTTTTTTCCTCCTAAGACACTTAACTTTCTGAGAAATTTCTTTTGAAAAGAGGTAATCCTTTTTCACGTTTCTGGACCAGCTATATACAAGAGCCCATGCATTTTGACTGGTTTTCGGGTATTTACCATGGGAGTTTTTGATCAGAATTCTGGATTTCTTGAGGCTGGCAGTTCATGGAGTAGCTCACTGGCAGATGGCGAATGCATGGATTGTTGAAGCAAATCACTCAGTGGCTTGGCGACTCTTTTGGCTGTTGTTCTCCCAAACCTCTGGGGCAGGTTAGGAACATGTCTTGAGATGCTTTCCTTTATATTTCTTCCAAATCTCAGAGGCAGATTGGCCATCACCCCAGTGCTTCTTTCTTCTTCCACGGTCCTCCCAAATCTTAACGGCAAGGTGGCTGCCGAGTGTGGCATTTTGTTGACTGCAGGTGCACTCATCTTAATGACAGTTTTTGGACCCCAGTTTTTTAGTTCTTCAAAATTCACACTTCTTTCCTTTTCCCACTTAAGGTCTCCTTCAGGCTATGATTGGAAATGTATATTAAAATAGTTTTTGTTAACCATAAGAGACTCTTAATCTCACAAAACAAACTGAGGGTTGCTGGGGGGAGGGGGGAGGGGGAGGGTGGTGGGGTTATGGACATTGGGGAGGGTGTGTGCTATGGTGAGTGCTGTGAAGTGTGTAAACCTGGCGATTCACAGACCCGTACCCTTGGGGCTAATAATACATTATATGTTAATTAAAAAATAAAAAAAATAAAAATTTATTTTAAAGAATCTTAAAAAAATAAGTTATTGTTATAGGCAATAGGTTTAAACCCCGAATTAACTTAAATCCAGACTTCAGTTTGGAGAACTGTTAAAGAAACAAACAAAGTTTGTGTTTTCATAGACAGAATTTTAAAATAAATAGTTTATATTAGGTTTCTTAGAGCAGTCCAGTTTCTCTATTCCTGGACTATTGTAAGACAACCGTAAAATATTACTAAAATCCATAGAGTGAATACAGCAACGTGTTTGAGCAGCAGGAGCACACAAAGTATTGAAAGGAGGCAAAAGTTTATCTTACTGCAGTTGTTCTCCTTCAGCTTTTGATCCATGTTGTTTATGAAATATTTCATGTATTTTTATATTTTGATTTTAGAGAAACCTCCCACTGCCTCTTCATATCCCTGTGTCTCCTCTTTTTAAATGCTGAAGTGGTGGATACATGAAAACAGAGATGCTGGCCAGGTTTTGGGGTAGAGTTAGAGGAGGCTCCATTGTCTTTCTTACCCGCTCATATTCAGAGCTCTGCTCTAAGAAACTGATTGTATTTTTATTAGTACGCAAGTTACATTTTTAGGAAAGCACTGTTTGGTTTGTGGGCTACTGTACCACTAACATACCAACCTTAAATGAACCATTTAAAATACAGCAAATATTTAATTAGATTTAGCTTTACCATGAAAATTTGTCCCTATGAAGATTTTTAAATGATTGTTTCTCTGATTGTGAAAAGAAATACATACTCACTTCAGCAAGTTTGGAAAATATATAAAATCATAAAGAAGAAAATAGAAATATCTTGCAATTCCACCATCTAAGGATAAATACGTTACTTTGATATAGATGTACCATAAACTTACTGGCTCATCGTTACTAAGTAGAAGAGATAATCCTTATATATTTTTGTTGTTGTTGTTGTTTATAGTTGAAGACAACTCAAATGTTCAGCTGAAATATATCCAGGTCTTATTTCTGCAACTATTTATTACAACTGTGTACTTCTGAGTTAATTGAAAATTATCAATGTACCTTGTGCTTGCTAAGTATCATATCTTGTACATAAATTGTCATTATGCCAGACTGTTTGCTGTTGTATCAAAAAATACAAGTTACATCAATGCACTGTCATGGAAGGCTGCAATTGGACAAACAACAAAGCACAAACAAACTTATTCCTTTTTCTTTATAAAATAAAAATGCATTAGATTTAGGACAAATATATAGTTAATATTAGTCATGTTAGAGTTAAAAAACTTACCTCAGAATATTTGTCATAATTTTCTTTGCTGGCAAGATTGGACATCATTAATTCATCTGAACAAAAGACATTTGATGTTAACAAGCTTGAAGTGGCTAAAATCACTAAAATGAAGCATTTTGATGAAATAACTTTCATTTTGTTCAGAATCTAGAATTAAGTTTCTATGTGCAGCCTGATGTCTACAAGGAGGGGAATCGTAGTCTTTTTATACTGTCTAAAACAAAGGAAAGTTTGATTTATCAGTGAAACCAATTCCACATATTTTAAGTACTAATATTAATTAGTGTTTAACTATATATTTAAGGAATGTGGGTAATTCATTCTGGAAAGACAGCAATGTTCCTGTTTGCAAATTCATTAACTTTGAAAATAATTTTCCTCATTATGAAGGAGCTTCTAATTAGGTAAGTTTGGGACCATGGTAATTAAGATTCCAAACAAACAGAATGCTTCATTTCTTTGAGCTCGAATGAAAAATATTTTGGTGTTTGTGTTAATTCTTGAGAAGGAAAAAAAAATAGTATTCAATTCATGCTAGCTATATTAAAAAAAGTGCTGTTGTTGTTTTTTTTTAATCCACACAAAAGAGTTAGGCATAGTATTTTCAAAATGTCAAACAAAATTCAGAATGTAAAAAGAGTTCTAAGTCACATAGTACCCAAATAAAATGACATTAATTAACTTTTCGTAAAATGCTGTTTGGTTATTAAAACGTATCAGGATTAAATGTCAGCTATGACGTGAAAGGAGGGCATTAGACCATGAGCTAGGCATTTTTGACAAACAGGCTGTCTCAAGAGAAGCTGGAGGCAGTTCTAGGCCTTTTGTATCTTCCCCGTGGGCCTTATTTGGCAAAACTGTATAAATCACTGGGATTGTATTTCTGTGATGATGCCGTATCCTACCTTCCTCCTCAGAGCCCTTAAGAACCCTGGCAAAGGTTTGGTAAGTCACACACATGCTAATTTTGTTGCTCCCCTGGCCCGTATTATTTGGGTAATCTCACATTGCCACAGGCATGCTGACATCATGGCATCAGAAAAGAATTTATAGAAATAAATGCTTATTTCCTGAAACGCCAAAGCGAGTCTCTTTTGGAGCACATGACTGACATTCTTACAGACCTGCCTTATCATTAGACTGCCTAGGTTCTAGAGAAATCATTACTTGTTCCCATCTGCACATTCAACCCTCTCAGGAGACACAGACCTTATAGTCATTGATCTCTAGCTACTTCTAGACACAGATACTTAGAGGTGAATACACAAAAGAGCAAGTCACAAAGTTGCACCTTTTGTGTCAAGGATTGTGCCACCTCGAGCCACTCCCACAAAGTGCCATAATTTCAGGTTTGTGATGGGCAGAAGTGAAGATCCTTCTCCGGATTATAGATCTCCAGAATAAATTAGAAAAACAACAGTGCGTAAACTCTTGGGTACCCTGAGGTCCCACTGCCCACAGCCTCTCTTCAGGCAGTTGACATCATTGACCTCATTTGTTTTGGTCCGTGCCAGCCAAGAATCCCCACAATAGGAAGCAATTAATTCAATTTATAGTCTAGGGTTAATTTTGTAAGACTGTTATTGGATTATTTGGGTTTAATTTCCCCAAGGATTTAATGCATTTCTCTTTCAAATTGTTCCTTTGCAAAGTGCTGATGGAACTTCCTTTTTTTGTGGTCAGTAGATTCAAACTTTTGAGAAATGGGTGAAGCGAGGAGCAAGTTACGTGGGGCCAAGTTCACACCCTGGAAAGAGTGGAAGGGATCAGCCTGGGTCTCTTTCAGGGTATGCTTGGTGGCTGGTTGTTTAAGAGGTTAGCATTACACCAGTTTGTAGTTTTGCTATTTGGGGTTTTGGCACATCTATGAATTTTTCGGATTGCAGTCAGCACCTAGTGTAGCAGATCTGACTAATCACTCCTCTGCCTCCACCAGGTTCAAACCTCCAAGTTTGGAGTGTACTTAGAGTTTGCTTATTAATACAGGGCTTGGCACTTTTCAACCGTATTTTCAGTTAGCTTGGAAAACATCGATATAAAATAGCATGACCTGACATACACAGTACGAAATCACTCCGTCTTTCGATGAAATGTGCTCCTATATACGTAGCCTATGTAGGGATTCCTGACGAGATGTAGGAGCATACAAAAAATGAAAACAACGTCTTTCTCCTGGCCATGTGGCATTTCCGTATATGCTTCATTTTACTAAGACTTTAGAGACTTGAAGCTACTCCTGTCTAAGACTCTCTCTCCAGCTTGGACACTTCACGTGCTTGGCTTCCTACCAGATGGTGCTGTTGGGATGCCTCACAGGCCTCTCAAGTGCTCTATGTCCCAACTGAGAAAGTATGGATGGCAGAGAAGGGTGCTACTCCAGGCCAGAGCCTGTTTCTCCGTCACAGGTGGGAGGTGCTCTTCTGGGGTGCAAATGGGTCAAGGCTGGGAAGGCAACTTCTGAGGAACTGTGAGACTCATTGGGAATCTGCCACAGCCATGGGGATGAGTGCTGCCAGGTGTCCCTCACCTGTACCACCGGCAGCCATGTGCAGGCAAAAAGAAGCAAATGGAAACCCATTTGAGCCAGAAAGAGATGTCCCTTCCTCCTGTAGTATACCCCTCTAGTGCCTTTTACCGACAAAGCATAAAATTATGCCTGCTGCAAAGGATAAATGCTTAGGGAGTCCATCTCTCTTATCTCAGAGCATGAAATCAAGAGTGGATTTGGAGCTGAGAGGCAGTAAATAGATTAACTGGCATGGCCATCCACCCACTTGACCAAGCCCAAATCCTTTGGGAGATCCATGACTATCTCCTCCCCTTTTCTCCCTCATCCTATTCTAGAGTCAATGAAAAACTAGTTTCTAGTTTTGAGCTATTACACTCAATAATACTAGACACTATTTTTCTGAGCCCTTACCACATACCAAGAACTGTCCTAAGTACTTTGTGAATTAACTTGTTTAGCTTTCATAATCATCTCATTAGCAGTTACAACTACTACTGCTCCTCCTCCTCCTCCTCCTCCTCCTCCTCCTACTCCTCCTCCTGCTTTCTGGAAAGGAAGACTAAGGTGCAAAAGGATGAAGTAAATTTCTCTACAAAGGGCAGGGCCAGGATTTGAACCCAAGCATTCTGAATGTGTTCTCGCTCTGCCAGTCTGCCCCACCAAAGCTGGTCTGTTCTAAATTCCAATTAATCTGTTCACATCTCTCCACCCCCAGTGCCCGTATTCAGCTCACTATGCTCTCTTGCTTACACTTTTTCCATGGTCCTCTCCAGTTCTTCCTCTATGGAGCAATCAGAAATGTCTTCACAAAGTAGAACGTATTTGTGACTTCTTTTTAAAAACCTTCCAGTGGTTTCCCATTTTTCGTGGAATCATCTAGGCCACTTTTCATTACTTGCGGTCTTAACGTAGTCTCCTGCGTTGTCTCTCCCACTCCTCCCTGCCACCTCTGTGCTTTATGACAAACTTCTTTCTATTCTTCCCAATGGCTGCAATTTCTCTTGCTTCTCCTCTTGATTTTCCTGTGCATGGAATATCTGTCCACTCCCCTCTCTCCTTCTTACATCTTTTCATTGTTTGAGTCTCAGTTGAGGCATCACGTGTTGTGAGAAACGTTCCTGTTTGGATATCTGACTTTTGACATCCAGCTCCAATAAATGGCTCTTTGTTCTTGCCCAGTTGTGACTTTTTCACTCAGACTTGTTCTGTGCTGTACCTTGCCTCCCGTCCCCCTGTACTGCTCGGGGGAACCATGTGAGGGCAAAGCCTTGCTTGCATAGATTCACAGTGGCATTTCCATTGTTTATCTCACAGATGCTATAGACACTTTATTTCTACCTTTTAAAAAAGATTTTATTTATTCATTTGAGAGAGACAGAGACAGAGACAGAGAGAGCCCACAAGCAGGGGGACAGGCAGAGGGTGAGGGAGAAGTGGGCTCCCTGCTGAGCCTTATGTGGGGCTCTATCCCAGGACCCAGAGATCATGACAGTCAAAGGCAGATGCCCGACCATCTGAGCCACCCAGGCACCCAGGACACTTTATTTCTAAACAAGTGAACACATTTTTTCCTCTGGTATAAGGAATAAGGGTTAAAACTGAAGGTGCTTGTTCACTGTTTTTCCCGGTTTTGGCTGCTGACCAGAGTTTCCTCTTTACTGTGACTTACACATTATTAAAGCTTAAGTTTGTTGGCTTATCCTGAAATTTTAACATCTTAACATTTTCCCAGTGAGGATTCGCACCTAAAGCTTTCCCAGACTGAGACCTACATGTGGACAGTCAGGTATGCGTAGGTTGAATGTGAGTGTAGGTTTATCCTGTTAACGCTGCTACATGCAGCTTGATAAGTTCAGTATGTTCTGATGTATCTTGCTGTGTTGATGGGTCCAGACACCAGGAAGGGTGTGAAAAGGGATGATACAGGCCTAAAAAGGGCTTCCTGACTATGCTTCAGGGTCGTCCAGTAGGCGGACTTCATAGGCTCCCCTGGCTGAAGACAGAAAAGGGTTCTCTTATTGCTCGTTATTTTTCCACGCCCACGAGATGCCCCCAACCTCTGGCAGGCAGTTAGAGTAGGGGACAAATCCTTCCTACCCATCAGGAACTGAGCTGACTGAGTTGGGTCTAGGACTTTGTAAAGTTCTGGTTTATCTGGACCTCTAGGGCAAGATTTAAAATAAGTGTTTTTGTGCCATGGGCTGCAAGTTTTTACTTAAAATTTTATGCAGCAGAGCTAGCTTCCCCCACAAATTGATCCGTGCCCCCTAGGGCCCTGGTGAGGTCTGCCGAAGAGGTGGTGAGTGTTAATATGCAGAAGAAGGGACAGGTGAGTCCTGTCCCTCGCCCTCAGCCCAGCAGTGGACTCCTAGGCCATTGGCCTCTTGACAGTTTTTTTCTTCCTCTCCATCCAAGCATAGTCCAGTTGTTGCACTCTGCAGAAGAATTTATGGGCATTGTAGTCTTACTTTGCATTGCATGTTTGCAAAGTATTTTGTAAACATTTGTTAACTAATTTCAGGCCCCCTTTAGAGGTGGGTGGTGGCATTACTGTAGAAATACATTTCAGTATATTGTGTGCAGAGACAAAGAAATATCTGCCTTGGTTCCAAATGAAATCATCCTA